ATATTTGGTATTTTTTTCTTGTGTTTGTCTAATCTAATGAGGTTTGAAAGCATATATTTTTTCCCTCACCCCTCCAGAATGGGCTGTAAACACAAGTGTTGGAGCAGCAGGTGAGCAATCTCCACCATTTTCTTTCTGGAATGAGATACTTGTCTCCACATGTTCTCCTGTAAACTGAGACAGAATACAACTTATTTAACATATCTTTACAAATTCTCAAAAGAGTAGTAGTAGTACAGATTTTAATGCCATGTCAGCAGCTGAGGCAAGAGCAGAGTTACAGTATAAGATACACAAGAGTTCACAAAAGAGTGTCTAGGTTTGTTAGAGAACACAGTCAAGTTTGCTTTTCAAACCTTTTATTTAAATTCCTCTTCTTCACAGCCTTTTCCAGGTCTGGAACTGCCATCTCATAGAATGACGATAATCTACATTGAGAGATTATTATTTTTGTATCAGTAATATCAGGAATGAATTTCTGCCTTTAAGGACACTGTGTGAATTATAGTAAGAGTCATCATTATGTGGATGTATTTGTGACACCTGTTAAGAAAGTTGTGTTGTTTGAAGGTAGAACAAGCCTCAGGGAAGATGTCCAGGAAAGAGTGAACAGTCGTACAGGTATCACACATGTACAACACCAAGTCTACAAGCTCCTATGAGACATAAACATAATTATATATAAGCATTTTATTTATTTGAATTAAATTCAGTATTTGTGAAAACGTTTAAGAAAGATGTGTTTTGGTTACCTCCTCTGACATGGTCATGGCAGTTAGACATCTGTTTGCATTCAGTTTGAGGGGTTGACGGGCTCCTGCGTCCTCTGACTGAATACCACACTTCTGTAATATTGAGTCAAACACCTAGAATATATATGCACACATTTTAGGACGTTCAGCGAACCATGACAAATCAAAGCATTTAGAAATGTTTATGGTGTCACATGAGATACCTGAATGATTGAAGGTATAGTCTCATCTAGGTCTCCATAATAACTGGGCTGCTGAGTAAAAATGTTCTCTGGAAAATGGGAAACAAGTATGAGTGGTAAAAAAAAAAAAGTGAGTTCATGCATTTTTCTAATTATAAATATGTACTATAAGATTACTAGTACCGATCATTTTATGTACCAGTTGGGAATTTCCTTTCCCAAACAGCACACACAGATCCAGAATTTTGGGAATGTCAAATAAGTAGTTATTGTAAATAATCTCTGCAAACACTGCAGGGGTAATGAAGTTCTCCTGAGAAAGAAAAAATATATATATTTAATTTTGAATCCCACCGAATGCCAAATATATTGCCATCATATTAATTGAATGTAATTTAATACAAACCCATCATTTACATTACAGTTTAAAAGTTTTGGGTCAGTAAGTTGTTTTATTTCATTGAAAGTAAAAGTAAGAGGCTTTTATAATGTTACAAAAAATTTTTACTCAACAAAGAATCTATCAAAAAAATATTTTACCATTTTCCTCAAAAATATTAAGCAGCACAACCGATTTCAATTCTTGAGATTTCTTGAGAACCAAATCAGCATATTAGAATGATTTCTGAATGATCATGTGATACTGAAGACTGGAGTAATGATGCTGAAAATTCAGCTTTACCACCACAGGAATGAATTCCACTTTAAAATATATAGTAGAAAACAATTTCACTTTAGTTTTATGTATCTAGGATTTAATCCACACAGTACAACGATTAAATAATATAGTAAGTTATGCAATATAATTTATGTAATAAAACAGTTTATGTTTACCTTAGACTCTTTGTGCGTAGCCATCCTGAGGAAGACCATGAACACAGAGCGATGAATGTTCCTCTGCATGTCGGCTACAGCTGGACTGGACGAGATACCAGACGGGTCCAAACCGCGGGGAGCGTGCATCAAATAAGAGTCCAAGCACCTCTGTAAAGACTCATCAAATACCACCTAAAGTGAGAAAGAATAAAAAAAAAACACTATGATAGCTGCCAAGCTAAATAATGTAAGTATCCCAAAACAACAATATTATATATTCTATTGGGCTGTACCAAAACCTTCATTAGTAACATTTTGACTTGTACAACTTGTATTTTAGACATTCCAACCTGACACCAGAACTTGTCGTGGGGTAAAGCCAGCAGCCACTCCAGATCCTCTGAGATGAACTGGGCATGTTCCAGGAACTCCTCCACTAATGCAGGTGTGCCATCCTCAGGTGGGGGCTTAAAGGTTAAGAAACATCTCTCTTCTTTTCGATCAGGGTGCTTGTGGGAGAGATGCAGGTGGCATCATCATTCAAATTGTTCATAGAAGAACTGGACCATAGTGGTGGATCAGGTCTACTCTTGTTAATTATGAAGGACATACGTGTAAAGTGAAATATTCACTCACTAGTGCTGGTATAGTGATTTCTTTGCCTTGTGGTCCAGAGGGCTGAGTCACATGCAGTTCATCTAAAGGCACTTTTGCACAGGCCATTTCACCTGCCCTGAAGAAAATAGCCAATGGATGCACCTCCTGATAAAACATACAGTACAACGACAAGAACTCGTTTACTTTGTCTAAACTGTAAATGATTTGCCAAGAGTTAAATGGTGGTTTAAAAGATTTTATTAGTGCTGGTTTATGCACATAGGCCTTAATCATCTGGCTTGTTTTGATTGACTGGTTTACTGTCTCTAGATGGTTGACAGGCTAATGTGTCAAAGATCCAAAACCAGTGAAACGGTTGACAACACCATAAACATATTTTGCCACTTTATAGATTGTCAAAAGAACAGTAACATTTCATTTTATTTTTTTAATTTTTATTTTAGACATAGCTTTAACTATGAGATGACTGGCTGGCTATAGTATTAGCGAGCTGGCTAATGCTGCCGTGTTAGTGAGCTCGGTATCTTAACTAAAGAAAACACGACCAAACAACAGCAGTTTTCATTAGCTGCAAATTATTTTAGTAAAAGACAGAGATTAATAAAAACGGCACACTTTTGTTGACTGTTAGACATGAGCCTGACAACCAAATGAGAGCGTAACTACGTGAAAAAGTTAGATTTCTTGAGTTTAAATAACAAATAGCTACGTCCATTTAAACAGCACAGTATGAAAATAATAAATATTAAAAACCAAGTGATAAAAATGTCACCTCTTGACTGAATCTTTGAACAGATGTTTAATAGCTCCAGCTCAAGGCATCAGCTCTATCAGCGTGGATTTCCGGTCCACTCTACTCGTGCTGAAGAGATTCCAAAATAAAAGTCTTTAAAAATAAAAATACTTCTAACGTCGTAGAGAGACGTTTAACCTAACTAGTGGATCGATGAACCCCATATAACCTATATTTTCATGACATTTTTATTAATTTAAAATGTATACCTATCTGTTAAGTAATGTATTGTGTTGGCTAATATTAGTTAATGTTCTAAATTAAAGTTTTAGTTAAGTATAAATTAATATATTTGTAAGTCTCAGACTAAAATGCATGTTTGAGCTGTTTAAACTGAATGTAACTTGCACTGACATTTCGTAAAATATGTCACTGCCATTGTTTTGTCTCAAGATGCAGACCAATAATGTTTTTTTTTTTGTTTGTTTGTTTGTTTTTGTCTATAAAAGCTACTTGAATATCCTAATTGAACTAAGGCACATATCCTGTCTTTATCTAAGCCCTGTTTGTCAAACTAGGCCATTGTGTTCCTAAAATAATCTAGCTCTTTATGGTCCCTGGGTTGACTGAGAGTCTGAATGGGGTCGGAACACAGACAGACAGATATAACAATAGACAGATACATAGATGGATGGATGTTTTTTGATTTTTTTTACTTTTCTTTTCTTTTTCTTTTTTTAAAATTCATGAATGTTTTTCCATTCATCCGTTTCTCAACAGATGCCGTTCATTTAGGTCTAACAGATGGATGAAATTAATTTCAGTCTTTGCTTGTCATTGAAGACAGCTTTTCCCCCAGTGTGTCTTACCAATTCATAACTTACAATATTGAGCAAACTGGGCCTCTTTCTCATTTTTTCCACTTTAGTCGAGCACTACTATACATTGAATACATTTGCTAAACAATTGAATGATGAAGAAGAAAACTTTGAATATTAAAATGTATAGCCTATATATTTGACAGATGGCTGCCCAGCACTTACCAGTATACTTCGACAAAAGATATTGACATTGATTTTCACTTTATAATGCTTAACATATCAAATAGCCTAACTTTAGAAAAGGTTTTAAAGATGCTTAACAGGCTAAAAATACTTGTTCAGTGGACAGGTGACCTGAGTTGCTAGGCGTCCAGACTGTCACATATAGGCTACAAATTATTTTACTTACATTTATTATTTTATTTATTTCATTAATTAATGTGAACGTTGTTATTTGTCCAGTATTTTGGCTGCACAATGATTACAGCAGTAGGCCAAAGTTACAAAAAGAGCAATGGTGATTGTAGCGTACACTGTTAGCATCTGGCGCTCTTAATATTTTTAGCTATTCGTGAAACGCTGAGCAGTGTCCATAAGCTGTTCACTGGAATAAGTTTCATGGTACATTTATTATGTTACGGTCATTTATTTATTTTCATTTTGCAATGTGAACATTTGTCGAATTTATTGGTTGAACCATGATCAAATGCATAGTAATAGAAGGTAACTTAATGACAGCAATCATTGAATAAAAAAATAATGAGAAAAGACGAGATGTAAAATTATAATAAAACACTATTAGTGTACAATCAAATTGCTCGCAGCACCCAAGGAAAGATACACGAATTCAAGATCAAAATGATCATTCTTCAAATCTGCCACCAGAGGTCAGACGGGAACCACAAACTCGACCACAAACACATTGAAAGTCCGTTTTTGCAGTGGGCACTGCTCTGTTCTGTATCCAAACTCAATATTTTAAAATGTCGGCTAACTACCGTGTGTTTTGACGTTTCATTAAGTTGATTTTAAACAACAAGGGCTTCATATGGATGATTTCCCTTTAGAACTGGCGTGTATCAACTCCACCCAGTGTGTGATTTCTCCTTCATTTATCAAAAGCCCTATATCTCTTTCTACGCTGCTTATTCAATCCTCAAGAACGACGCGTAAAGGCCCAACTGATGGAGCGCGCGTGTGTCAGTCGCCTCCTCTATTTGCGTAGCGGAGGCTCCACCTCAAGCATTGCAGTGACCTCAGCAGTGGGCTGAATTGAGCTGGGTGGGATTTTTAGGCTCGTATTCCCGATCGCGTATTCTAGGCACGATTTAACGGTGTGTGTGTGACGGAGCGAATAAGCGTTTAGCCGGCTCGCGCTGAACGGTGCAGGATTTGTGTTTGTGTTTGCGTGCATCTAACGATAGGGATCAAATAAACAAGGAATGTGGGATTTACAGAATGCCCAACAGCGTTGGAAAAAGATTTAAACCCACCAAATACATCCCGGTGTCCACTGCCGCCACTCTTCTGGTGGGATCCACTACTTTATTCTTCGTTTTCACGTAAGTTTGCGAGGATTTTTTTCTTCCCCAAGGGGTATTTCGTTGAACGCTGGTTCACTGGAATAAGTTTTATGACAGTTAAATGACCACAAGGCCTGTGGTTTGACTGTAGACCTAAACTATTTTTCTGCTTTCTTAATTTAGCATGTAGAAGTGTGCATTTTGGGGGGTCTTAATAATGCTAGATGATATCGGTCATTTCTGTTGAGATTTCACATGTGAAATTAGTTCAGCAAAACAGTCATGTGTGCTATAAAATACTCATTGATACTAAGTTAGAGACTGAGCCTGTTTTAGTGGACATTTTTGTTCTTGTTCATTCATTGCAATGATTTCTGAATGCAGTGTAGTGTAACAGGGTGATGTGCGTTCGTCGTGATAGGTTTTGACATCCACATTCTCATTAAAACATCATGAAAATCTGTAGATATTGCTTGAATGCGTGTCTTCAGTGTACAGAGTGCATTGATCTTTGCTTCAAAAGCTTTCTTACAACGCAAGGCTAAAGTCATTACAAAAGATCAGCATATAGTGATCTTTGTAAGTGGCCAGGAAGTTGCTTCATTGAATCATTCATCAAGCAGTGAGTGTGATTGTGACAGGCTTTGAGCATTTGTTTGTAGAATCATCATTAGACTCAGATTACAGTTATTCTCATTCAGATTACAGTTCAGAGCACACTGTCTTTATTTGATCATCTTGCAGGCATATAATCATTTGCTTTTGGTGTATTTTGTTGAATAAGCATCCTGCAGATTAGACTGTCATCATTTATTTTAAATCATGGTTTAGGTCAGTAGATCACTTAGCTTTTTATAAACCATTTTAAACACCCTTTTGTCTAAAATAGCTTATTTTGAATACTGTGATGTGACAAGAAGGATTTTTTGTTAAGTACAAATATAAGGTCAAAAAGCCACATGCTCAGGGGTGAAGAGACATCAGGAAAGCTGTTGCTAGTGTAAAACCACAAACCGAAACTCTCAGACTCTTCCATTCAGATATAGGACGCCCCAAATTTAGTAATCTTTTTTTTTTTATTCTCTGCTTTTATAGTTATTTTTATTTATTATGCATCTGCTCTGCTGTGATTATTTAAGATTATTTTTAATTCCTTTTTATGGAAAGCACTTTGCAATTACAATTGTGTTTGAAATGTCCTATATAAATAAATTTGCATTGCCCTGCTTTGCATACTAATCATAAAGGATTTAGCAAAACATTGTAGAAGGAACATCCCAGAAGTATTTTGTGCACACTACCCAGCTGAATATGATTTTGGAGATGACTATGGAGTCACTTGTAGGACTAGAATCATTTTATTGTGATGTCTAAAATAAGTTATATTAATATTTTACTGCTCAAATTGTCCCACCCTTAAACTTTATAAAAAACTAAGTTGTGTAGTGGATTTGGAGCATGACCCGAGCAGATGGATGATCTCTTCCCGTTGCTCTTTGATACTCTGGATTATGCTGTTTTTGGAAAAATGTTACTGATGTTAATATGAATGAGTAGAATGAGAATGAGTGAAATATGGTAACTCACTCACTCACTCACTCACTGAATTGAAATTGAATTAGAGTGAATGAAAATAACCTGTTTAGATTTGACATGAGTTATATTGCTTTATTAACAGACTGTTTTCCGCTAGCATAGCACATAACCCCACTTGTTACTGCACTTGCATTATAATAAAGTTTTTGCGAAACGAACTAAGCAAAGTATCACTACATGCAGTTATTCACAACCTTATACGCCCTACACTTCTGCACAATGGTAACGATCAAAACTCATTAGATCACAACGTAATAGAAACTTTTTCAAATGTAAAACATAACTGAACATTAAACATTAACAGATGTTTTCCTTTACTCAACAACACATAAAATAACTAGGGCTGTGCAAAGATTAATCGCGATTATTCGCGAAATAATTACTTTATTATATAAAGTTTGTGTTTACATGATATATGTGTGTGTGCTGTGAATAATTATTTTGTTTATATAAATACATGTGCATGCATGTATATATTTATATACTGTATATACTGTATTTAAATACTGTATGTATATATATATATATATATATATATATATATATATAGTATATATATACAGATATAGATATAGATGTGTGTATATATATATATATAGATTAGATATATGTTATATATGAATAACACTTTTTCTTAAATATATACATGCATGTGAGTGTATTTATATATACAAAATAATTATGCACAGCAAATATATTTTGTAAACACAAACTTTTATTTTGGATGCGATTAATCTTTGCTCTGCCCTGAAAATAACACTTACTTTCAATATTTCATCTCCATTACCAGCCATGTGCAAAGCATGCTGGGAACTAACAATTATATCTCTAAATAGAAAGTCTCAAAATTCCTTAAAAAAATTAGGAAAATGTATCTCTTGGTTTTATAAGTGAAATGTTCTCAATATTTTCTAAAGAACACTGAACTATAATTTTCTTAATTAAATATGCACAATATTTTTAATTATTTTATTGAAAATGACAAGACCCATGATTCATTATTTACAGTGTAGGGTTAGACCTTTACATGCAAAATTCCATATGCAAATAATAGGAAACAGACTGGTAGCTATTGAAGGTAAAAGGTAGTGTCCACCCTCAGACCTCAAAACCTCAGTGTCATCTGGTATTTAAAACAGCACTCAGGTGCAGCATTAAAGCTAATGTCAGTAAGGCCACACTTGTTCACTGACTGCTCACTAGAGAACAGTTGATTGTCCTTCAAAGCAGCAAAGGCTGTGTGATGACTCTTTCTTGAATGTGAGAAGTAATGGGGGATCTGGGTGTTGTCAGGCGTACACACATCTTAACAAGGTTGTTCTCAGTTGGTTTTCCCGTATGGCCTCAATACATCACTGCATTTATGTCGAGGGTAGTGGTGAAACTACAACGCAGACCTTGCGATCTTCCCACTTGCCATTTATCCATTTGAGGTGTTTGACTCTAAAACATTTAATCTTGCCTTATAATACTTTTCTTCTGGTGCATGTTTATTGATATTTGGGGGAAAAAATAGATTTAAACTTTTTTTAATGGCTTAAATATAGCAGTTCCTCCTTCCAAACAATGAAAAGATAGAATATCAGTGTGAGCTGTTAGATAGTGACCCCCTTTTAATTTGTGTCTAACCTCTTTCCCTCATTCCCTTATGGGGGGCAGATTGGATTAGAAGCGGTCTGTGTGCAGATGTCCTGTAGTCAGTATTTCTAAACATTATGGTGACATAATGGGCTATAGTTTAAATTTAAGGCCTTTAATGAAGGGCTCATCTCCATTTATATTAATCTTCGTTCCCTGCCGCGCTTTCTCGTTAATGGGGCTGTAATATTTAATGATCTTGTGTTAGATTTCATGATAAATACTTTCACCCTGTGTAACTATGTGCACACACACACACATACAATACAAACTCTTGTAAATTCAGTTTTATTCAGTAATGTTTAGAACATGTAAAATGTGAATGAGAGGAGGACTTCAGCTGTGATACCATTATTTGGCTGATGAATTGCACATAATTCTGTTTATAATTAAACTGTCAGGTCGGAGACTCAAACAGAGGAGAACAGCAGCGATTATTATTATGTGCCATTCAGAACCTGCAGAGCGGCGGAGTGATAAGCAAAACAGAAAGAGAATGACGAAGGTGCATGGTTTTATTAGAGATGAAGATATTGTCCACAGTCACAGAGAAGGTTTGGCACCAAATGCATCAGTGTGGTCTTTTTTTTTTTTTTTTTTTTTTTGTGGACATGAAAGTCAGTAGTGTCTATTGTTTAGACCCTGACATTCTTCAGAATATGTTTTTCATTCATTCACTACTCACTCACTCATTAGTTTCACTCGCTCATTTCACTCATTCCACTCACTCATTCCACTAACTCAGTGGTTCTCAAAGTGGGGTCCGCGGACCCCTGGTGGTCCGCGAGCTAAAGCCAGGGGGTCCGCGAAATAATTTACAACCTAACGTTTTTTTCCATGCTATGAGCCATGTTTTCTTTATCATCTGAAAACATGCTGTTTATTCCTAAGTAACTTATATAAAGCATTTAACATAAAACAATACAAAGTAGATACTTAAAGTTTTCTATAGATAGATAATCTATGTCTTTGCGTCAAGTAGATTCGCTGCTGTTGATTTTGCGGGACGTGCGCCAGAAAGGAGACAGAGAGACGGCATGAACCCGCATCCGGTTCTTTTCTGTATTTTTAAAAGGCATGACATTTTGTAGTCATTTATATGTAGCCTATACACAAATAAAAAATGGACACTTTACCGTTTCGGATGATGCACTCTTGTCTTATCTATGACCATAAATAAGAGTATTCCTGTTTCCACTGCTGAGGAAAAATTCCCACGCGTCTCGCGTGCGCGCACAATAGTCAGTTCTAGCACTGCTACTGTAGATTTGACATTAGAAGTCTGATCATTATCAAAATAAAAGTGCATAGTGACAGGGCCGTACCCACAACTGAGGTTGCAAGGATGCACATCGCGATGATACTGACCTTCTCGTCTGAGGTGCTTCAGCAGACTAACAACGATAGCTCGTCAATGTCAAAATGTTTGAGGCGGAGTGAACTCAAAGTTCCCCGCACGACGTTTCAGTCAACGGTCATAAAGTGCGAGATAAGATGTAGGCCTTAATTAACATAAACTAAACAGCTGTTTTAGATAAAAGTTTTAAAAAACGACTGAAACAATCAGTTTGCAAAGTATTAATCAAGCTCAACTTTAACAAAGGAAAAAAGAGGTCAATAGAAACATACTGTGCCCATGAGATTAACATTATGGATTCATATATTTAACATATACTGTATGTTTTTTTTAGCTAATTACAGTAGCTCAAATTAACAACGCACGCACCTATTAAACATAATGCCATTATCATTGTATTTATAGGCTTATGGGCTTTATTTGTGTGCAGAATAGGCCTAATTATTGA